TAGGTGATTGACATTTTGTCAATAATTAATTAGTATCTTCCATTTGTCAATGATTGATTGATATCTACGATTAATTGATGTCTTATTCAATCAGTTAATCAATCAAATCAATCAATTAGTCAGAAAATATTATTTCAGTTATGAATTTTGGCAAGATTTCCTTGATGGAAGGAAACCCTAGAGATTTTTGTATTTGCCAGTAAGGGTCCCTAGCCTAGCCTATAAATAGTATGTGGTATTCCATCAATTGTACACTTTTGGGTTAGACATAGGCTAGAAGATCCTTGGTCTAAATTCTCCTTCAACTTTTTCTTCTTCTACATATTTTGTTTTGTTAGAATAAATAAGAAAAAGTCAAATATACAAGAAGAGATCACATTATACTTGACAACAATGGTTAGAGGTAAGTGTATTTAGATTTCCGCTACATAGTACATTCACATGTACATCGTAGTTTTACATGTGGTATCAAAGCCAACCTCTAACTATGTTGTTCAGCTTATAAATTTATGGTTTATTGGCAATCTGAAAAAGGTTTTAAAGATCCGTATCAAGTTTGAAGAAATCGAATTTAATTTGCCATGGGATCTATGGTCCATTTTCTCAATAATTGAGATTTATTAACTGATCCTATGTATATGTATCATTCATATGATACCTTATTTAGGTATGCAATTCATCTAGATTTTCTCCAATAATCTGGTATGATTACAAGTAATTTGAATGTTTCTTGGACTTACATATTTGTGATTGTAAGGGTTATATGTATTGATTGTTATTATCAATACAATATATCAATTCGAGAAACATATACAGAGTTGTTATATTCAACAATCAAAAGATTAATATCATATTAATCTATACAAGATAATTGGTTAACTTTATATGAATGGATCTGCAAGTTTATTGAATCTGTGCTACCTTATTATGAGATAAATATCTAAAGGCATGATTTCAATATGAATTTGCATCAACGTTCGTGTTGTTATTTGGAATTATGTAGTATTTTGTGCACTACGCTTATGTTCATTTATCTCATATTATAATGTCAACATTAGTATGGTTGACTATATTTTAATTTCAGAGAATTTCCTTTATAAAGTGTGTCTTGTATCTCAATTATTTGATGCATGAAGTATTTTAATCATATAAAGGCTGGTGATTAAAAAATGAATATAAAAAAAGGAAATTATGAAATTCTCTTGTCAAAATACAGATTTTTGACTATTTTGATATCCTTATAAAGTCTAGGACACTTTATGTTTGAGAGTAGCCATAGCATCTCAAACATTGGTGTACTACAATTTTGATCACATATAGTTTAGTGATTAAAATGAAGGATTTCTAGTCAACAAATTGACTACTTATTTTCTATAAATTTTCATTAGAAGTTTTCGTACATCGTACATTTGGGAGTAGCCACAACATCTCAAATATACGATGTAAATAACTTTAATCACATAAGATTATGTGATTATAAAAAGAAAGGAAACTTCAATGAAATTCAGTCAACATAAAGTTTTTTTTTTTACTGTTGACAAATAACAAGATGTCATGCTAAGAATTTCACTTTTACATTATATATTTGGGAGTAGCCACAGCATTCCAAATATTTGATGAGAAAAGTTTTTCATCACATACAATTTGGTGATTGAAGTTACGAAATTTTAGTCAACATATTGACTAATTGATAATTTTTCTTATAGTGCCGTATACTTAGGAGTAGCCACAGCATCTTAAGTATATTAGTGTTTGGAGAAATTTTGTATTTCTTTTTCACATATTGCTGAGTCATTAAAGAAATTAAAAAAATGACATTTATATCAAGTTGCAATTAATTCATTGAGATAGTTATCTGGCCCCACGGGGAGGTAATTATTTTGATGAGATTAATTGACATAAGATGGGAAATTTGACAATCAATTAAGAGATATTTCTATGCCCATAGGTATGAATTATTTCTTTAATTTACTGTTCTAGATTACTAATCTTATGATTAAGTAAAGTAAATTCTATGCATGTTTGCAACCTTTGTCCATAGAAGGGTTTGAATTTACTATTTGAATTGATATAAGATTGATTCAAAATCAAGGTACAAATTTAATAGCTTTTTTATGATATAGTTCTTGATTGTTAATTCAGTGTTTCATTCCAATGATTTTATGGTTCTTATTAGCTTGATTTTTTAAATTCATTCTCTTTTGTTTTTGGTGCAAGTTTTAAATTAGCACTTTTATGAGAATGAACAAACCATTCTCATAATATGGATATATTTGCTGATATAGAGGTTGAGTGTGAGAATTGGGACCAATTTAATAGTTTGCTCATTCTATCTCATATTCATATAAATTAGGGTTCAAACCCTAATTATTTATAGTTAAATCTTACATGAAAGCCATAAAGAAATTGTTGCAGGTTTTAACTAGCACCATTAGAAGGCTATCTTTTGTGACACATAAATATTGAAGTGTATTTTAGCTCATTTCTTAGAGTTGAGAATTTTGCTATATCATCAATTAAAGTCCCATTAAATTGAGATTGAGTTATTTCTATAAAATTTCATTCTTGATTCTTTCATCAGAATTTCTTAACCATTCAAACCTTTATAATACACATAAAGATATATGGTTAATTACTTGTTTTAACCATGTGTATTAAGAAAGGATAACGAGGTTAAGAAATAAGAGAAACTGAACCTTCATGAAAGAAGAAATAGAAAGAAAGGTAATTTTGTTCTCATTGAGTTAAACAGCAATAAAGACCATCGTTGTTTGTAAGAGAATGATGTTTGATACTCTATCTTGAGAGAAAGTAACTCACAAAAATCTCAATTTTTGAGTGTTATAAATTGTGATATATTTGGTGAATTGGCTAAAGCTGTCAATTTACGCTGCCAGTATAATAAGTTTCTAATTATATGAAAAGTGAATAAAAGTTTCTTTATAGAAACTAAAAAATGTTCACATAAAGATAAGTGATGTATTATTGCTCATTTCAAGAAAATTTGTTTTTTTTTTCTAAAACATTATTTTCTTATTACTTTAGAATTTCTATTTTCAAATTAATTACTATTGGGTATGATTATGAACCTCATTATCTAGTAGTAGATTTTGAAAACAGTGAAGTTATTAATTCTAAAGTTTTCAATACCATCATTTGAATTGAGCAATATACTGCACTTGACCATAATAATTACATTAGCAGCAAGTATGTTTATCACTAGGGAAACTTCTTACATTTTGGCATAAGAGATTGAGATATATCTCTATAAGGAAATAAAGAGTTGAAAAATTTAAAGAGTTTTGATTAATTGACTATAATATTTCAGGTAGACTGCATACGTAAGGCAGACTATTCAACCATTACGAATGCAATAAGAGTTTCATTATAACACTAAAATTTTGTGAATTATTTTCTATCCTTTTTTATTGGTGAGAGATATTTATCTCATTATTAGGTAACCATTCATCAAATATAAAGTTCCTCTTTTGTTTGATAAAGGATCAGTATTTGATACCTTTGTAAGTGTTCAAACAAGAAAGGAAATTTGAAATTTGAGGGATAGAAAATAAAATGAAGGCACAAAAAATTAGGGGACGATCCTATATGTGCTCATTTTATAAATTCCTTAATTATGAAGCATTGCTAATGAGTAAAAGCAATGCTTGATTAGTTACATCCAAAAGATGTACCTTAAGGAAATAATGATATAGTTGTGGATATAGCATTTTGACAATTTTTATATCTTGTGAGTAATGCCTTAAAATTGAAGTATATACCTAAACAATTTCCTCCAATGTTATTTAAACACCATTTTGATTATGGTATGGATGGAAATCAAGTTTAAAATATTATGTTCAGTTTTGTGAGGGTAATCAACCTACACATAAAGAAGCTGTACAAAGGAAACAAGGCTATCTTACTTCAAGAAATTTAGATTCCTTTACACCTTAAAAATTATTAGAACTGGAGATTTAAATTTCTTAAAAACATGAAGTAAGTGGGAGTGTTTTGACTCTAGAATGGAGTTTTGAAATGGTAAGGATTCATATTTGACTCCTTTGCATATGGAAAATTGATAGTTTTTCTCAAAATAATTATTTAATTATTTTAGATAAGCAGTCAATTAAAAAATTCCTTGTCAAATAAATGTATAAAGATAAATCCACTTTGAACCTATTGGTTGAGTTATCTTTGAGATAGTGGGAGGCAAAATGTTCTCTATCGAGAATTGAAGTTCTCTGGTTACTATGTTGTATATCTACAAGAGTTTAAGGATGAATTGGGTGATGTTTTCATAAGGTGCAAATGGAGAAATCTCCATATTCAGGAATAATGTCACAAATTACCACAAAATCTCTACCAAATTTTGAGAGATTTTATTTAGAGTAATTATGACACTAGTAACTCACTATTAGAGTTACATTAGATAAATATGAAAACAAATGTCCTTAATATGACTCTTGATAATTAGGTATACACGTATCACCATAATACATTTGTAGAGAATGCAATTTAAATTGTTTCTTCCCAATACTATATTAATTTATTTTTCATTTGATCTTAGAAATTTTTTTTTTCTAGTAAATTAATATACATTAAGGTTACGTGGGAGTAATACTATGAGAGTTTTTCTCAATCATGATATTTGTGAAACCCTTCTATCATTGATATTCACAAAATAGAATGTAAAAGATAATTAATCTATCATAAGACCTTCATGTAAGAGTTCTTTTTTTTTTTTTTTTTTTAAGACAAACTCGTTATATTTATTCCAAGAGCAAGAACTACAGTGACCAACGAAAGAACTACTGCCTAACCGGGTACTAATCTAATTGACGGGAATTCCCTAGCATCCAGTGCTAGGCACCCGTGAACCTCCATCGGCAACTGCCGAACTGACTCAAAAATCGTATTTGGACATCCTTGCATGGCCGCTAACCTGTCTGCCACCATGTTAGCTTCTCTGAAAATGTGTGTAACTGTCCCAGCCACCTGCCTCAGTAGGCGACGAGTTCGACGCAGCAGATTGCAATGCGCCCACCCCCCAACGCCGACGAGTTGACAAGAGAAACAAGAACCACCGAGTCCACTTCCCCCAACACCCCCTGAACCCCCCGTGCCACACACTCCCGCAACCCTTCCTGTAATGCCATCGCCTCGGCCTCCAGAACCCCCGTCTCCCCAAACTCCTTGTAAAACGCGAAGATGAGCCTACCATCTGAGTCTCGCAGTACTCCTCCTCCAGCCGCCCTGCCATTGACCACGCTGGCATCTGTGTTCAATTTGCTCTGATGAGCTGGGGGCTTGGTCCAGACAACCACAATCGGCCGCCGTTGACGATTGGCCGAACGAGCCAGCAGTGCCCAAGTGTCCTCCATGTCACCATAGAACTGCGCCTTCATCAGCCTCCCCGCTCGTCCCATATCCTGTATGAAGTTGTCCACCTCCCAACTAATCCGCTACGCTGAGAATGCCTGTCCTTCGAAATGCGCCCTGTTTCGTCCCTTCCAGAGGAACCACCATATCAGTACCGGAAGGATACATCTGATATGAGAGACCGGCAGGCGTGGGCGTGATGCAGCCCATTTCTTCCACAGACTCTCCATCCCCTCAATTGGTCGGCGACCGACTCCAAACCTGCTCCCAAAGTGCCCCCAAACCTCCCTTGCCACAGGGCCATTGACAAAGAGGTGGAGCACCGATTCCTCTTCTTCAAGACAACAGGAGCATCGGGACACCAAAGGTACCCTTCTCTGACGGATAACCGAATCCACCGGTACATAGTTTCTTAACAGCCGCCATGCGAACATAGACATCTTCAACGGGATCCACCTATTTCAAACCATCCCGTGCATCGAGGATCTACCTCGGCGCTTTCGGCATCGCTCCCAAGCTGAGCTAAGTAAGAACCCTGCCGAAGACGATGGTGACCACACGATTTGATCCTGGCCCTCCAGGTCAAAGGGTATGTCAACTACCGTCTCCATGAGGTGCTCCGGTAACCACTGCCGGAGGCGCTCCTTGTTCCACTCTTCCCGCCCCAAAAATTCTGCCACCAAGAAATGTTGACGGACACTATCTGCTGCCACCAATGAACTGAGAGGACCCAGCTCGCACCAGGTGTCCAACCAGAAATCTACCATACTCGGGCCTAGGCTCCACGAAATGCTAGCCTCAGCCATCTCGCGTATCCCAATAAGACGCTTCCATGTCCCTTTTGGTCTGGCTGCTACCGCTTGAAGCGGGTGCTGATCCCCTATATACTTTGAAAACATATAATCCGCCCAGATAGATCTTCTCTGCCTCAGTCTCCACCACAGCTTACAAGAGAAGGCCTTGACCATGTCCTCCAAAGACCTCACCCCCACTCCACCCTCCTCCGTTGGAAAACACATTGTCTCCCAGGACGTCCAATGTATTCTTTTATCATCCTGTGCTTTGTCCCAAAGGAACGCATTGAATACCCTTCCCAGTGCCACCAAGACTGCCTTGGGGGGTTTCATGTAAGAGTTCTTTGATTACTTTTAAGTAATAATAGTGAACAATTGCATAATATGCACATCATGCATTGGAATGAATACATAAATTCACCAAGGATGTGATGAAGTTATACCACAGAAAGTTACTATTTGGCATAAAGTTTGTCGATATTGTATTGTGGCCATTATAGATATTTGAACTGACTATACCCTTTCATTATGTATACATGAAAGAGTGGGAGTCAAAATAGGCAAGTCGACATGAGGTATTCAATAGTTATTTGAAAAGCAAAAGGTAACTATTGAGTATACAGTAAGGAGTTATTATTTTTTATCAAACATCTAAAGGTTGCTGGCTGAGTTATTAATGATCAAATAACTCACATGTAACTCAATAGTTCATTTAGTATTTTGCTATTATTCTCAAACTATAGTTATTGTCTAGACACTTGAGATATTTATATTTACATGATTTTGTGCACATTGTTGTTCATGTATAAAGTAAGGATTATGTGAACCATAAAGTTGGACTCTGAATAACTTATATAAAGTTATTCATTTTTTTAATGCACTTGATTCGGAAGTATAATACATGGACGGAAGTGTTTGCCATGAGAGCATAATCGCCATGATTCATGTATTATTATTTTCTAATTAAGCTACTGTTACATAACTGCTGAATTTGATGAGTGACAAACAAGGTTTATGGCCATTTTTAAGTAGTTAGTTACTCATAAATTGTTTGACTGTTACAGCCCCACCTTCCCCTAAGGCGAACCAAAGGGTTTGGCGGACCGCCTGCCCAACTCTCGCCAGGACTCGATTGCTCTCATCAAGTGAAATAAGATATAACCTCGAGACTAAGCGAAAAACAATTCCCAAACTTGAAACATATACTTACATTCATATCCATCTCAAACAGAAATACAATCCCAATTAGAACAAAAACTTTAAGTTCTTACTCCATCCAACCTTATCCAAGCACTAGCGCGAGAACAATAAAAAAAAAATTAAAAACTAGACCAAGCTAGTCTGTACAGGACTCACGCCCTCGCTCGCATCCCCTGTAAGGAAAACAAAGCTAACGGAATGAGCTAAAAGCCCAGTGAGGTTCCATACACATAGCCAAATAATTAAACAAGGACATTAATCATATAATAACAAGTAATCCAGAAAACATTTACAATATAAAGTAATGATAATACATTCATTCAAAGGATACATGCTCACATGGAACCCTTCGTTCAGTCATTCCACCAACCATTTCCTTATTCCTCCAGCATTAAAAATAATTTCATTTGTAAGTGAAAACCCCTCCATTGTTCTTGTCATTCATTCATTCATTTCATTTTTTCCCTACTGGACATTGGCCAGTCCCCACCAATCTTCGTAGTCATACTCGAGTATACAAAACATTAACCCAGGGTCCCCAATCGCCCAACCGAGTCCGCTTCTGGCTCGAGTCGACCGGCAATGAAGGGTAAAGGCCCAGTTCAGCCAAACGGCTTACATTCATGCAAAAGTAGCATTTAATCATTTAATCATTGTAAATTCCACATTCATTTAGGTCGAGTGCGATAAAGTACACACTCGCCTAACAAAATTCATTTTAGAAATCATTGAAACATTTAACATTTAATCAAATATACACAAATAGTCACATAGTCACAACAATCCACATAGTCATTGAAAACATAACGTACAAAGAACACTCACCTATTTAAGCAAAATAACGTCCAAAGTTTCTTTCCGGACAACAATCTCAATCACCAAGGAACCCTAAGAGTAACCAAAAGAACACATTATACTTCAACCATCAAAGATTTAGGCGAATCGAAGAAAATCTGAATAATTACTAGGAAAATATATAAATATGAGTTTTAAAGTGAAAAGAGTACATTTAGATCAAAGGACACGAGTAACTAAGAGTTTTTCAAATCGAACACAAAACTATACTCAAAAGGTTTTTAGAAAATTCCATCGGAAAACAAATGAAACAGTGCCACGTCAGAATCCGGCCAGAACTTGGTCGGATATCCGGTCGGATTCAAGGCAGTGAGCATTCCAATTTTTTTTTCTTCTTCCCCTGTCAATCCAGCTAGCAATCCAGCCAAGAGTTGGCCGGATACACGGCCGGATTTGAAGAAACATTTTTTTCAAATTTTCGCAAAGCTTTTTGTTTGGCTCGAAACTAACACATATGCAAAGAAATAACGTATAACAAGTGTTTTGGGTAAAATCATATGAAAAGGAAGATAAACAAACCCTAAATTCACACCCAAAGCCTCGCTTGATAAAATTAGGTTTTGCGGCTGAGAAACCCTATGCAACTCTTCTTTGCCTTAGAAAGGAAATGAGTAAACATTTGAAGTTCAAAACTTGACATTTGCAACTAAGTATCATGTTTACAATGGTCGTCACATTCACCATGCGAAAATGTATAAGTTTAAATGAAATTTAGCTCATCTAACACCACTAGAGTGGACCTAAGTATATCTAAGCAAAGTAAGTCCAATGCATCACAAAATCACATTTCAAATCTCACTTTCACTCACTCAAACTTCAAGAATATAAATGGACAGAATTTTCCCTTAATTTCTTCACTTTCCACCCTACAATCAAACACCAAATCTCATCTCAAACCAACCACAATTTCACATACAAATCATAGGCGATAAAACACACCTTTCGGTATAACAACCACAACTGAAGCTACACTTATCGGATTGAAACGAATCTTATGGCATTTCGCAGCCAAGACATATACCTACATTCCTTATGAAGACCTCGAAAGCCAAATCATGCATTTTCATGGTCAAAAATTGAAATCTCAGAGAGGACAGAAAACTGTCCGTGAAACAAGGCTTGTGGGCAGTCAGGGGTATTTCAGTAATTTCACATGATACAGTGCTCCGATTGAGCTGAAGTTTTACCAGTAGCTAGCTAACCCAAATACAAACAACTTTCATGTTTTAAGCAAAAGCTGATTCGGTCTCTCTCAAGGACGAACATACAGTGCAATGACATGGCAGATTTGAAACCCTAAAACTGAAATTTAACATGACTCTAGCTCAAACCATGAAATCTTCCACAAAATAACATATTTAACAACTATAATCCACTAATCTACTATTATTGAAACAAAAAGGGAATTTCTAAGCAAAGTACCTTGAACCCTCAAGAAATATGGTAGCTTAGTCTTTCCTCCTCCAAAATAACTCCACCAAAACCTTTAAATTTCCCTAGTGAGCACTTGTGTGGAGTAGTTTGTGATTTGGTTGGTTAAAACTCAAGATTGAAGCTAGCAAGTGAAGTAGGAAATGAACATTTTTTCTCTCTTATTTTGCTCCTCAAACAGCCGGCCAAGGCCAAGAAAAATGGGAGAAACATTGGTTCAAAATTGGTTTTAGTAAAGGTGAAAAGGTCTTGGTCAAATCCAACCTCCAACCGGTTTGCGACACGTGGCACCTTAGATGTTTTAAACTTATCTTCTCACTCCCAATGGCCTATCTATCTAGCTAACCTCTAATTATCTCCTAGCACCTTGTAAAATAATATTCCTTTACACAAAAATCGCTTAGTCACCAAAATCATATCGCACTTACCGCACTAGCGGGTCCTACGTCTATAACGCACTTCAAATTTAACGCACACTAACTTATACTAGGAAAATGATTTAAAACTGTACTTACTTATAAAAATGCATAGAAACTTTAATATTTTAAAGGTCAGTATAAAAATGTAGGCAAAAATAAAATAATGCCTAGAAAATGTGAAAATTTTTCGGGTTCTCACATTGACTATTTCATGTGGGTCAAGTGGGAGAATGTAAAACTTGCTTCTTTTGAGGCAATTATGACCCACATGATTGATTCTAAAGTGATTGATATCATAATTAATTGATTGATATTTTGTCAATAATTAATTAGCATCTCCCATTATATAATGATTGGTGATTCACATCCTGATCAAAAAAATTTTTTTTTGTCAAACATCATAATTGCATTTCATTTCATAACTTGATACTACAAGAGTTAGATACATCAGAGTTACTTCCTTTGTATTCATTTTGTGCTCTCTCATAGAGCCACATGGGAAAACACACTTCCCATTCACATCCTGATCAATTGATTGATATTTTGTCAATAATTAATTAGTATCTTCCATTTGTCAATGATTGATTGATATCTACTATTAATTGATGTTTTATTCAATTAGTTAATCAATCAAATCAATCAATTAGTCAGAAAATATTATTTCAGTTTTGAATTTTGGCAAGATTTCCTTAATGAAAGAAAACCCTAGAGATTTTTGTATTTGCCAGTAAGGGTCCCTAGTCTAACCTATAAATAGTCTGTGGTATTCCATCAATTATACACTTTTGGGTTAGGTATAGGCTAGAAGATCCTTACTCTAAATTCTCCTTCTACTTTTTCTTCTTCTACATATTTTGTTTTGTTAGAATAGACAAGAAAAAATCAAAGATACAAGAAGAGATCAACATATGTTTGACAACAATGGTTAGAGGTAAGTGTATTTAGATTTCCGCTGCGTAGTACATTCACATGTACATAGTTAATTTAACAGTTTTGGCATTTGGTGGGGTTGACAATAGTTCCTTGGTCCTTCTGCCACTTGTGGAGAATGCCATAATGCGAAGAGTTTAGAATTTGGTACTTTTCCATTTTTTTTTTTTACTCTCTTCGAACTTTTATTTTGGTGCTTTTCCAGTTGTTTCCACAAGCTGCTTGCAAAGAAGATCATCTAGTCTATACATGTGGAATCTGCTATGGAGAATGGCGGCCTTTGTGATGAAGACCGCACTGATAAGAGTTTATTTTACGTATTTTTAAGTGCATTTTATTAGTTAATTTTGAGTTGATTATTTAGTTTTATAAATAAAATAAAGAGGTTTT